TGCGATGACTTTGATTTTTTTTTAATTAAATAAAAACAAATGAAATGCATTGTTCCCTGTTCTCAGATCCCTTTCTGCTAAAGGCCAGGAACTGGATAATGCAGCACATCCAACAGCGTTTCACTTTCTTTGCATACCCTGCAACTCAACCCAGTGCTCAAGGCGTATGCAGGGTGTAAGCCCCAGACCAAGATGGCATGCAAAGGAGGACAAAATGTGCACTTCAGCTTGGGTCACTAGAGGTAGTCCTGCCTCAGCATGATTAATTGGCTAAAGCCCTGGCCTGGAACTCAACATGGTCTATCCCCAGTTGTGTGACTGACTTGCTGAGTGACTTTGGATGAATCATCTCATTGTTTAGGCTGTATTTTCCCTATCTGTAAAAAACGGAAATAATAATATTGACATTTTAAAGCACTTTGAGATCTACTGATGCCATATACTTTATCTGTAAGGTAGGATTAAAGTTGCCTGGCACTTCTTTATTATGTGCCCCTGTTTTCAGTTGTTTATAGCTTGAAGTGCTTGGGTTGAAATGTTCCATGCCAGATGTCTGCCACAGGCTGCTTTTTTTTTAAATTTTTTTTTATGGGGGTGGAATTTGGCCAAACCGGTTCTGAGAGGGGGGTTAGGGAAGAGACCGCTTTGCCTAAATTGCAGATCCATAAAATCTGGCAGGGCTGGGATGTCATGGATGTTCTTTTTGCCACCCCCATGCAAATCAGCCAATATTTGGCCAAGTCATAATAAGTCTTTGAAAAGATTGCAGTTCGTATATGCTCAGTAGGGACTTCTTAGATTTTATCCTCTAAATCCCTGGAAGGTCTCATTGCAGTCTGGGGCTGAGCAGGAATTGCAGGTCTCAGTCAAACTGCAAGACTCCATTTTGAATATGAGTCAGTTTGCTGCCTTTGTTGCCAATTACAGGGAAAAGAACTGGAATTTCAAGGAGCGATGGCACAGGGCCAATAGCTAAGTGCCGTTCTACAGGCAGTGCACTTAGGGAGAGACATGGTATGATCCCTCTCCCCTATACCCCGGAGTGATGAATGGTGAGGAGGAGACATTGCCATGGCAAGTGCTTACAGGTAGGTACTGCTATCTGTTCCCCCATGCCCAGGTACGAACATATTTGTGCACATATATTGGGCAACCCAGCCCGGGGGGTGAATTCAGAGGTATAGAAGACCACGGGTTCTACTCTTCAGATCCTACGGCTTCCCAGCTAGAGTAATCCCTGCACTCCCTGTCTCCTGTGCCTACACAAGGGTCTAACTTTCTGTACCTTTCCCTCCACCCATGTGTGTTGGGCCCAGACACAATCCAGATATAAGTCTTGCTGGGAAACCTTGTGAATTTAGATGTGGTTTCTACTTACTGCTCCACGTTGCTATCGATTAAAGCAGCCCTTAATCTTGTGCGTACTTTGCCAGTGAACTTGAGGCAGATGAGTTTCCTATGTGCTTAAGTAAAACACTCTTGACTTGAAACCTCAGGGAATGTAACAGCATAAAAATGAGCCTGTAAAATTATACTGCCTAAAATGGTAAGGCTTGTTCAATTTGCTGCAGCTGCTAGTGTTGCTGTAGGGCCAGCTTTTGCCACATGTTATGCAATGATGATGCAAATTGGTAGTTTCCATTGCTAGGGTGGTCTCACATATGTTAGTGCCATTGAAGCTCATTATAACATAGAGCTGAGGCTGAATCTACTTGCAATAATCCATTTTCAGTTGTATCATGGAAGTAACACCTGGAGCAAGTTTGGGTAATCAGCCACTTGCCTCACAACCTACATTATCATGTATGCATGGTATAACATCAGAGTGCATCCATTTGATCACTTTTTTGTACCCTACAAACCATAAGTAATGGGGGGGGGGAGCGTACCCCCCCTCAAGATTGGCCCTCACTGGCCAGGAAGTGGGGGTGCTGGGTGAATCGCTGGCCAGTGCCCCCCCTGAGATTGGCCCTGGCCGGCACTTCCGGTCTTGCCACTGGCATTGTGATCGGAGGCACTGGTTGCCCATGCTACAAACTAGCTGTTCTTGGAGAAAATCCATAAGAAGGGAGGAACTTGATGAATCCAAAACATTTGCTGAAATCAGCTGTATATGACAACTCTGTAAAATGGTTCAGTGATGAAGCACAGGTTTTTGTGGTGGTACATCTTATTGAACCAACTATGTAGTTGGGAGGGACGTGGACAGTGGTGAGCATCTCTGAAACAGGATGTCTTATACAGCTCCGTCCTGCAAGGCATGGAACGCGTTCATTCCAGGTCAGCAAAGCACGTCACTTCCTTTCCACTCGCTTGGAGTTAGTCGGGGCTCATCACACGTGTGCTTTTGTGTTTTGCTGGATTGGGGTGAGGGGGCTTATTACTTTGCAGGATCAAGGTCAATTGGGAATATTCAGAGATTGCCCTTTGTGTTAAAATGCCTGTGGTCAGGTGGTGGGTGGAGAGCTGCTCTTTTCTGACTTTTTCGAAGTGGCACATTCTTTAGAACAAAGAGGTTTGGGAGGTCTGGCATCTGGCCCCTGGTATGTAAGAGTCAACTTCCAATACAACTCAGGGCAAATTCAAGAGCTGTGTGCACTTGCTAATGTAATGTGATAAATGTGGTTTCAGAGAACAGTAACCTCTTCACCCAACCTCCTTGCACACCAGGTAAGAGATTCCCACTTGAGAGTGCTTGCTTAGAAAGTAGGACTTGACTGCCTTCCCCATTAAGGAGCCCTATCCAGTTACAAAATATGCACTGCGCAGGGTTGTGTGCAGAGCTGATTGCTGTGGTTTTACAAGGTCCTAGGACAAATGTTGTGGGGCTTGGGAGCCACTGTTAGTAAGGAGGGAATAGCATCCCTCAGTCTTGTTTGCCTCAACAAACTGTGCACTGTTTCTCATTAACAGAGGTGGTTTGTTGCCTGAGTTAAATACTGAGGTGCTGTGTAGGGTGCATGTTTTACAGGTGGACAGCATCTGTCAACCTTTTTCAGCTAAATTGAATTTCATTGGGTGCAAATGAATGGAGTTAGAGAAAAGGTGAATTTGACTGAATGAGTTCAGTATTGAGGCAGGAGGGGATGCTAGCTCGTATGGAAGTCCAGATCCACTGGGGCATATTCTACACCAGGGGCTCGGACCCAAGGGTGAAAGCCACTGAGATGAAGAAAACCCACGAGGCACTGACAGTGAAAGGGATGTGGGGGAAAAGAAACTAGTGATCTCCAGCAAGGTCAAAACAAGGAGTGGATATGAGTGATAGGCAGCAGATCAATGTGATCAGCCAAGCTGCAAGAGAAGGGGACAAAGTCTGAAGCGCCATTACGTTTTCCTTTACAAGCATTAAGAAAACACCTGTAAGAGCCATGCAGGTCCCAAAGAATTATACCAATGTGGGTCCCAAGGTTGGTCCAAACACCCATCTGCAGTCCTTGTAAGGTGCCCATCACTGGTTGCCTCACTATTTAGAGTCTTTATGAACAACAGGAAACTTCCCTACCATCCAGCATCTCTGTGATGTTGCTGAGAAAAGCAATGTGCCAGGCAGACAACACCCCCTCCCCATCCCACTCCACCTCCTCTGTGAAAGATGAACAGCACCTTCCTCATCTCTCCCAAGAGGGTATTCACAACCAGTGTTTGGACAAAGGCCAATGGCTAAAGTTAAGTCAAAGGAGTTGGGGAGGGGGAATGTATAATAAGGCAGCCATTTAAAGAAAATTCGAGCAATATTCAAATGTTCGAAATTGGGCAAGGGCATGCAAAAAACCCCACAACCCTTTGAACTCAAGGAAAACATGATTTTTTAAATCCACCCAGGGCTGGGTACAGATGTAATGAGGAGCCAACACACTGAAAAGACTGTTATTCCCAACTACCCTATTGTTAGAAGCTATTGCAAAGAAGGTGTTGAGCTTTAAGACAGAACAGCCCCCACAGTTCATTTGAAATGAAAAAAAAAAAAGAAAAACACATTTAGTTTATAAAGGAACATTTTATTTTGTTATAAGGTGATTACAAACCCATCTAAAAAAGCAAAGATGACTTAAAAATATCGATATACATTTTATTTCTCTAAAAAGCAAAACAGAAACTGCAAAGTACAAACATTTACCATATACACAAAGGCTAAGTTTTAGGATTAAGTTACACTCCAGGATCTTATTCAAATACAAATATTTCTTCCTGGAACAAAAAACTTTTAAAATGTTTTTAAAAATGTTTTTAAAAAAGTTCAGATGACTTTTTAAGGAGGACACGGATGTGTCCTCAGTCTGCCATGTACTATTCATCACATGTTACAGTCACAGTTTTTAGGAACTTAAATGATTTTTTAAAAAACCACCACTGTTTTTAGCCAAATACATCAAACAAGATGGACCACCTCTTATAACGCGAAGTCCCTGGAAAGCTATCAGGTAACAATCACAACATTACACTGAGAAAACAACATCCTATTAGAACAGCACATGTTTCAGAGCAATACTTTGAATCCAATGAGAGAACATCCTTGGGTGTTTGGACAGAAGCCGATCATAAACCAGTTCTACTAGGCCCTTGATGTTTTGGCTTCTCCACGAAAATCTCAACACTGGAGTTCTCTCACTTTTTCTACTGTATAACCTTTTTTACATCTCGGATGCAGAAGCAGAGATCAGCAATCTATAGACAATATGTTCCACAATAAAGAAGTAAGTCCTCTAGTCCCAATCAGGCTTCACTTTCTGCTCTCCCAGTACTCTTGTTTGGGTCTCAAATCTCACATCTTGGGCCATTAGCTATTAATTCACTTAAGGCTGTTTAAACGGTTTGCATGTGCTCCAGGACAGGTGACAAAGATAATGCACTGGAATGAAGGCTTCAATCTTGCTCTGCAAACCTGCAGTGCTCTCGGCTACACCTAGTTAACGGGAGCTGTTTTAAATTCCATGCTGCTCGGGGAGTGCAATTTGTTTAGCCCCAGCAACATTTATTTCCAAATCTGACTTTTTTTGTGGACATGCTAACAGCAATGTTGTTGAATGTTTTTTCAACCGGTTTCCATCCATGATGGGATTGTCTGGGAGCTGAGAGTTTCAATTATTTCAGCAACATTTTCCACCAAAATTCAGTTTTGGTGAAAAATGGCAAGAGAAATTGGTAGAATGTCTCATGGATCTTCCCATCTAATTTTTTTAAGCAGCTTTGCCTGTTTCCTTGCCAACTATTGCTGTTTGCTTCTTTCTGGGTTTAAATCACACCTAAAGTTGTCCTTTGTTAACCTTCTTCAGATTTTTTTTTTTAGTTCTTGATTTAGTTCTTGAAAACCATCCCAAACTGAAAATGTGCCAATTTGTTTTTCATTGGAATAAGATGTGAAAAGTTAAATGAAACAACTATTTGATGTGAAGATTTTAATTTGGGCAGAAATAGGCCATTTTTTTCATCAGAAAAAGATCCGACAGGAGCATTAATTGGTTTTCTGTCATCTGTGAAGTGTCACTAGTTGCTTTAGGGATGCTTTCTTTGTTGGGAGCAAGGAGTTGTTGAGAGACTCTGCTTTTCTTTCCTAAGGCATCTCAAAATATATTAGTGATACTTCACACAGGTGTAAAACCGATGTCCCCTAGTTAATACTAATTCCTTTGTTAGCAAGTGTATGCCATTCAGGGCACCTGTAGCTTAGGTTAAAATTAATTATCAAAGATTAAACATTATATCCTGATGGTTCCCAAACTAGTCTAATCCAAGGTTTAATAACCTCTCTTAATCCTAAACGCAAGGCTTGTAACTCTGGAAGAGATCAGCCCAAGCTGTGATGGCCAGATACATATCTGAACTCTCCCAAAGCTTGGGGGATGTTTTGTTCTGTGGTTTCTCTGCAGCCTGTTACAGAAAGAAGGGGTAACTATTATTTTTATCCCTGACCCAATCTTCCCCAAAGTTCGCCCATGTTGGATTTCAGGCTTTTGTTTTAACTCATCACTATTCACTAGAGGCTGTTTTGAATGGTAGGCTTCTTGTGTGTGAAAACTGGCTAAACTTTTCCCATTCCCTCTACAGTCCATCACTATGAACCTTCAAGCGAGGTGACACAGCATTCATGCTATAAAACACTCCTGAGGAGGAAGAATGACTTTTTTTTTCTTCTTAAGACTAGTACACTTTGCCAGGAGCATCTAATCAGATCATCTCCCAAGACCTATAATGTGTAACTCCAAAGTAAAAAACCATCTCTCCTAATCGTGTGTGTGTACACTTCTGGTGGTGGGTCTCATTTGGTATTCTAATGAAACAACATCACTATTGTTGCTACAGGGAGTAGGAAAAATATGCTGAATTTTCTGGAGGTGTTGTTAGGCATCTATTTTTTTCCCCAAGTGCACTTGAATTGCTGTTAGCCCCTGTCCACTCCACTCAATACAGAGCTTATTTAACTTATTATTTGCCATTATATCTGTCCACCCAGGCATTCAGTGAGCTCAAGATATGGAGTTTGTAACCAATTGCTCTCAGAGTTCAATTCTCCCACTGAAGGGGTTTAGACACTGATATCTGCAGCTGTAAGGTCTGAACCCAAGTTATCCCAGGTGTGACAAGTAAAAAGCATAGTTGTGCTCAACAAATGCTAGCAGGCCAAGATGAGGCTTTTAAGGTGCATCAGCTGGATGTTTTCATGTGTCCTAATGAAATCCTCTAGAGAAATGCAGGACAGAGACTGGATAACCACATACACATGCACCTAAGAAGGTAGGGTGCATACTACACTGACAGCAAGCCAGGGCTCAGATCAGCCAGAGGTAATGTTGGAGGTATGGCATGATAAACATGCCCTGTTGACGGTTTAGCTTGTTATATTTAGAAGGCTGTGGGCTGTTTTTGCCTCCTAAGTGCATGACTGCAAATAAGTTTTGCTGACCCACATCCCAATCCAGCAAATCAGGCTGAATACTAGCATTTTTCAGATGGTACACAGAGCTGCTGTGCTTCTGTGATTATATTTGCTGCACAGGAACAGACCCATTTTGTATCCAATATCTTACACTTCAGAAAGTGTTTTTTGAGGCTTATGGATTTAACTGGACTAAATTCATCAATGCACAAATGAAAAGGAAAGTGAATGAGTACCAAAACTAATACTATGAATGAAACAACATGGTATAAATATCAAAGGATGGACTACTGGTTATGTCACTGTAATAGATGCTAAGCCAATGAGATCATGACTAATGAGCAGTGAACCGACAGAGCATGGAAGGTTTGCTTTAGGTAAGAATCCCAAATTTCATTTGATAATTGGAACAGCTTAATTTGAAAATCTTCTGGGAGAAATCTTTCCCATACTTTCTGACTTCAGCTGACTTGAAAATGCTATTTCCAAACCCAGTAGAAACTACAAGGTATAAAGGTGCATTAAATGTCACAGAAAACAAACAGGTTTGGGGGTTGTTTTTTTTGGAAATGCATAGGTTTTGTTTCAAGGTTTTGACCCACAAGTTGGGGTCTTTCTGTTGTGGCTCCAAACCAGTTAATCTACAAACAGTTGCAATAGTTTAATATTTAATTTCTCAGTTACATAAGACAGGTAGAATAGGTCATGTTTCTACAATGTAAATTAGAAAAATTAGTCATGTTTACAATCATAAATAGGTAAAAAATACAAATGTTTATTTATTTTTATTTTTTTTAATTTGGCAGAATATAATGTTGCAACGCAAATTTGCCATCAAGTAAAATTCAGAATTCTTAGGGGAAAATGGAAAAAACCAAAATGAACATGCTCGTTGGAACTCGAAACTTAGCAGGAGTTGAATCTTTTGGAGTGAGTGTTTTGCTCTTGCAAAGGATGATTCAATTGCTGTTCCTCAGTCCAGCCCTTCCTTGCAGTCAGGCTAAACAGCACACCGGGGCCAGAAACTTGCCCCAAAAGAGCCTCAGTGAAGTCGCTGCGTATGAGCACGACGCTTTCATTTGGAACATGGAAGCAAGTGATTTGAATGGCACAGTTAGGTCAAAAAAGGGGGCTGGGCTCCAGTTCTCCTTTAAAGGTGTAGCACTGATCCTCTGGTTCATAATTCAAATCCACCCTCCACAATGAGTGATGCATGGTGAAATCTCCATCTCTGGCTCATCAGATACTTTTGAAATCTCAATGTGCAAGGGAAATGTCATACAATTTTTCGTTCAGATATGCAGCACCTAATGCAGGTGCATGCTGGGGTAACAGGTGTGTGCTTAACCAAATACCATGTCAAAGCATCAATGTTATTTTAATGTATCCCAACAGAAGTAAGGGATTTAACCATTAGCCTGATGCTCTGATATTAATTCATGTTTCTGTTGTGTGTACGCTAGGTGTAACAGGATGCTGTGCAAGATTACAGGCCTATTCTAAAGCCTGCAACAGTCAGTGAGTTCTTTCATTGACTTGAATGCACTTTGGATCATGTTTTACTTGTTTCCTCAATTGTTTATAGCATGAATTATAGACAGCATTAGTTTTAACTCAACTATCTTGCTTTTCCTTGATTAAAGGTTATTTTTTAAATACAGTATTTTTTCCCCTTGCATAAAGTTCTGAAAAAATCCACTTGGAATCATCCTGGCTTAGGGCAGCCCAGAGGGATTTCCAAGACATCTGGAATGGCCTGAAAATGCCTACTGCCAATGGGCAAGCCTAGTGAGATGTCAGATTTGCTGTCACAAATTGTGGCAGTGTTTCCTTTCATACTACAGTAACTGGAAAAGCAAACAAAAGCAATATCATATTGGCAGTTCTTGTTCCTGGAATTTGGCCCCCTCCCCCCCACCCAATTTAAAAACACAGATAGACTCAACCTAAAGCAACTCTCAACCTACAGAAGCTATCTTTTTATTATTATTATTTTGGTTTTGGTCCATTGTGCACTTCTAAATTGCCCGGTCTGTTTGACAAGACTAGAAAGCATGTGTGTGTGGTGCAGTGGCTAGCTAGCACATGGGACTTTTTTTTGTAAATGCAGGAATGTTAAGAATAGGATATGTTGCTCTTTAAATGGCAGAATCTGCTACTAACGGACTCTGCTGCCAAAAGTGTGAGCAGGTATGACTTTGCTACTGAATCAAGCCTTTTCTCCACATCCCTTTGGATAGCCAAACCCTGGCACCACATAAGGGAGGATTCGTTCTGAAGAATGATGCCCAACTAGAAAGGGCTGGTTTCCTGCGAAGTCTCCCTGCCAAAACACACGACTTTTAATGAAACAAGGTTCTCTCAGAAGGTTGGAAATTCTTTAGGGAGTTGAACCCTTACTATAATTCTTAATTTGGGCTAGGGATATCAATAGCTGATCAATATTCAGCTCAGGTACAGCAGTCCAGCTTGTTAGAAGCTTAGCACTGCCTTACTTAGATTTGTTTAAACTGGAATGCTAGGCAATGCTTTAAAACCAAAGAAAATCACATACCGTTCTGACTCTTCACTTGAAACCCCTGGCGCCCCATCTCCTAGTAGACAGAATCCCAGCCCCCATAAATGCATTCACCAACAAAAGCGAAAATGATGGCAACATGGTCCAGTGACAGAACAGGGTAATGGTGGGGTCAAGGGTCCAGTTCTACCAGTGCCTTTCTGAAACATGGGTAAACCACTTCATGGCCCCTGTCCTTTGCCTGCATCCCCAATAGTAAGAAAAACAGCAAACAAATAAGGATAATCCTTAAACTGGTAGAGCACGTGGGGCTAGATGGATGAAAAGCACCTGAGTGCGTGCTTAAGTACTCGTGTCATTTTTTGTTGTTACTGAAAATGCACTTGTTGTGAATAGCTGCTAGGTTAACTGGAATCCTCAAGGTGTTTTTCTTCTGATATCAAAGCCCAATACTTGAATTAAAAAAATCCCAAACATCTTTCCCATTTTTTTGTTTTGTTTTTGGAGTTCCACAGATACCAAATGCTGCCTTCTCTTAACTCAGCTCTTCGGCACGTGCATGCTTTTCTCCAGAAAAGCCTAGTGTTCTGTTGCAGCAAAATTTAACTTGAACTCAAGTACCCCCTCGGCTAAAATACAGCGTGCAGGAAAACTAAGGGACTGTGCCCAGAACTTCAGACCTGCACAAACCTTTTGCTGCAGGCAGTAAACATTTTGCTAGAGTAAAGAGGGCTGAGTTGGCAAACTTGCTCTCCTCTGCAGTCATTGCCTTCCACAGTGATGAAGCTCTTCAGCTGTGCTCAGGAATGACAACGATCCTGGTTGGTCTTTTGTTCCTAACCGCATCTCCTCCACTCCAAACTTCTCACCTCCCCTTGAGCAAATATGTACATTTTTGGACCATGACAAATGTCACAGTGTTCAGTACCCTTTTCCTGACGTGAACCTGAAGTCTGTCATTCGCCTCATTTGAACCAGAGGAAAAAAAAAGTACTACACCTTTGAAAAACAAACTCTCAGAGCAATATCTGTTGTTCTCTTTTTCTTTGAAAAAAAAAAAGACCTCTCAAGAGAGCTCATTTGTGTGTTCTAGGGTTGACCCTGTTCCCCACCACACCAGCACCTAAACCTGGCTGTCTGAGACTTGAATATATTGCTGGCAAGACAATCAATTCAAGTGGTAAGGAGTACAATATTTAGAGATAGATATATACTTAAAAAACCCAATAATAGTAAATTCCTGTAATATATCTAGTCTGATATGAAAGCTCGGCCTCCCCAGAGAGGTGTCTGCTGTGATTACCTTACAAAATATTAAAAAAACAAAAAAAAACCAAAAAAAAACCACACACACAAAAAATAACTTCTCTGTGAGAAATAAAAATAAATCCTAGTGCAAATATAAAGCTCTGTAAACCTGGTCCTATGAGAATCTATGGTTAGTAAACGGCAGTTAAAGCAGGTTTATCCTCTCATAGAGAGAGCTCACATCATAGTCTCCACAATGATATGAGTTGGCTTGATCAATCCGCCATTAGCAGTTCCATTGGCGCAAAATGGAGTGGCGCTTCCTCTGTCCTTGGCCCACCGATTCACTTCCTTGGGGGCAGCCACTGCTTTTATCCTCTGAAAGGAGAATGGCAAAGACAGTCAAGGGTTAGAAAAATCACTGCCTCAGTCCTGACAGATAAATCTATCATCGGTAAAATGCTTCTCTCCAAATGAAGGACCCAATCTCCAGCTCTCTCCCAGGGCTAGCACTCGCAAGGGCTTACCACCACGAGTACCACTTAGTGCCACAGGAAGACCTAGTAACTCCATCAGGAAATTTGGCTCTCTGGCTACACATTAACAAAATTACCAGTCTGAGACCAAGTGAACGTGTATTTTTCAAGAGAGCTTTTCAATCACCTTTGTCTTTTTGTCCAGAAGGTAAATCTGAAACCAACGGGAGACAGGTCCTTAATCTACTTGGACCTAGCTGTACTTTTAGACCATGGGAAGCAACATCTTCCTGAAAGTCAATGAGATCTACCAACACATAACACGAGAATGTTATCTTTTCCTCATGGAGTTTCTACTTTAAGACAAAAAGGCAAATGCAGCAAACAATGAGACACTGCCCAGGATGGATGGGAAGTTGATGGTTTCCTGAAAGGAGGACCAATGGCAAGAAGAAAAAGAGTGCTGAAAAAGAAACTGATAGCCCAAGGATGCTTGGGAACACAGCTTTCCTGAACCCCAACTACAGTCCCATACGAGTTGTCTAATAGCTCATGCATGTGTATCTGAAGGAAGCATATTTGGGGTAACCCAAGTAAACAGAGTTTCTCGACCTATGGCACCTGAGTTTTCAGCACACAGGAAAGACTGTTGTTGCCATTATCACCAAACACTGTGGTTACCAAAGGTATCTTAAAGGTTCAGGTTCACCAAAAGATGGCCCTGCCCCATTTATAAAGTATTATGGAGTCTTGGCAGGGCACAACAGTTCCCTGCAGTTCTGTATAGCTTTTGAAGTGTGTATCTACAACTACTGCAACAGAGCAGGTGAGGGAAGAGTGTAGAGACTGAATGAGATTAGCTCTGTTGTCCTATTTTTCTCTGTGACTAGGGTGTCTTATTTGAGGGCTCTCATCTTGGTGGGTTAGGATTAGAGATGGGGTTCTGGGTGCACACAGCATACCTCCCTAAAAAGTAACCTATCACCTGCACCTAGCCCTCCAGCCCACCTCTGAAAGCCATGCCTTTGCAAAGGCAGGAAGTGAACCTAAAATCAGAGCCTCTCTGTTGGGCTGGTGGAGAAACAACTTGCAGTTGTGGGTTCTAGCAGTCTCCCAACCCCATCTAAATGTGGACTTTCAGTGCTGCAGGATCTCCTCCAGGCCATATGTTTTTTCTCTACATGCTGAAAATGCAGCAGTTCACTGCCAAGCTACATCATTTCTCCCAGTTCTCACTTCAGAAGGCAGGAACTAGATGGCATCTGACATACATTCACTCTTGTTTACTGAATCTTGTCTTATTTGGCAGCTTTAGCTACTTCTCGATCTCTTACTTAATAGATGGTGATAATGCAGACAAGAAAATGAGAAGCCAATAAAATGCCCTGGCAGGAACTGGAAATGACCATTAAAATCGTTATGGAGAGAACAGCCAAAAAAACCTCAGGTAGCTTTCTTAATGTCTGTGAGGCTTTTGTTTTAGCCTGTCAGAGAGATGGCATTTTTACATGGACCTAAATCTCTCTGAATGCAATGAGTTTGTGGATACAGGATTTAGATTTGGGTTGATCCTGAACATTTCCTTTTCTCACTGATCTGTGTATGGATTTCCATTTCCCTCCCTAGCTTGAGAACTGAGACCTTCTGCATGGAAGTATATTTCAGTCGCAAGGTGCTCACAGAGGGAACAATTAGCTGGTTTGCAGAAATAGAAAGAAGGTAAAATCCAGTACTACTTTAGGCCAGAGAACATTGTGTGCATTCTCTTTAAACAGGATTATATTGTTTGCTAAAAGAAGTGGTGATCTATGCAGTTCTCATCCTCCCTGCAGCAGAAGTGTCTGACCCCATGCTGGCAAGGGCCACAGTGGCAGGCTTCCAAGGACTGTTTTGATTTTGCATAAAACAGAGCAGGTTTCAGCACACCAGAGGCAGTTTCACTAAGGTCGCACAGCGCAGCACGACATGGTTAGGCTTTCTTATCAGGATGCAGAAAGTGGAGGATCTCATGCTGTGGCCTGGGCCCTGCAGGGGCAACCGACTCCTGTTAAACATGCAGGCAAGGGCAAGCAACTTCTGTGAGGCTCCATTTAGGCCTCGCTTTGTCTGCTACATATTGAAGTAACTTTCCTGTAGATCATGTCAGAAAGCCTAAACTTCTCTTTCTCTCCTCCTCCCAAACCCTTTCTCTCAAGCACCCCCCTACTTCCCAATTCAGAGGGTCATTCATACCTCAATGAGCGATCCATCTGACTGTATGATGCGTATGACCATCACCATCGGGATGCAGATCATGGAGGAAAGGGCAAGAACCCAGCCCAGGCCAATTGCCCAGTCAGGATATGTGTAGACCTTGTTGTAGGTCAGAGGTTTATACTTGGCCAAGGAAAAGATAAAGCACCCCTGTGAGAGACAGAAAAAAGGATTAGAGAAATGATGCTGAAATCATGGATCCATTGTAGCTTAAATACAATATGGTATTGCTTGAACCCAGGTAAAGGAAGCAGTATCACACAATGCTGGTATACTTTACTGAGTGTTTATAACCAAGGGGAAGACATCCTAGCGGGAGCTCTACACCTATATGTATGTACACAGTTGAGAGGTGACCCAACTACAGAAGCACTGAGTAGAGAACCAGGCACTGAAACTGGGAGCAGTGAAGCCTGTCTCATGCTCTGAGTAACCCCCACAGGACAGCATGGAGGAAGAAGCCATGTGAATCAAATGCCAAGTGCAAAGAAGCCAGAAAAGAAATAGGTTGAGACAAGGAGTCTGGGGAAACTGAAGCCCTGGGGAGCAGAAGAAACTGCGATCTGGGGTTGAACTGAAAGGGAGGGACTAGGACTAGGTCTGTAAAGAGACTGGGGTTGGGAGCTGGTGAAGGACATGGGGGGCTGGAAGCCAGTTGAGAAGGGCTGCAATGTTTAGATTAGATGAGAGGCCAGGGGGAATACTGTGACTCGCTGCACAAAGAGACCCTGTGCAGGCAACCTTAATTCTGGCATTTCCTAAAGTGTATGCACTTGACTTCGCAATCTTAATAGATGTAACAATGTTTTGGTGCATGATACATAATATTGAATAAGAAAATGGACCATTTATAGCCTACGTATGTCCCTTGTAAGTTGAGATGTGAACGTGGTGACACTCCATCCACCACCCCACTCAAAGGAAACCAACATGACAAAAAAAACCACAGACAGGCTCTGGAACAGCATGATTCAGTACTCACCACACAAAGAACTGGTGTGATTAAAATCCAGCTCCATTTCATCCAGGGACCAGGTCTGTATCCAATCATATCCTCAATGGCATCATAAATATTATCAGCGCCTGAAATATATAGTTAATCCATGAAGAAAAGAACATTTTATCCAGAGCCTGCATATAACAGCTATGCAATATAGTTATAAAACATGACTGAGCAAGGGATATTGCAGTAGGAGATCTGCACCCTTGGGTCTGAGAGAGAAGGCAAAGGGGAAAAAAGTCTGATTTGTTCTGGGTCAGTGGGACTTGATGCGTACAGAAGATTGTATCTAGCTGTGGGTGCCAGACGTACTGGACAAGACTACAGGCTACACAAGATGCTTACTGTGCATTAGCCTAATAACACTGCGCAGTAGTGTGGTGGCTAAAAACTGTGCTAATAGCCTACTGCGCAGTGTTATTAGGCTAACGCGCAGTAAGCGTCATGAAAAAAGCGTGCGCTGGCGCTACTGCGCAGTAACTCTAGTTATTGCGCATTTAGTTAGCACTTTATTAAACAAGTGCTAAACTAAATGCATAGTACCTAAGGCAGATTAATGAACGTGTAGATGCGCCCACTATTTACTTTTTCAGGGATGTTAATTTCTAAGGTGAAGAAGAAATGTTACTTTACAGGACTTTATTATACAAAAAGGGTGAAATACAGGTCTAGAAATCTAAGTCTGGCTTCTAGAAGAGCCTACTTGGCAGTGTTGGAAGGCTAAAGGATATTTCTCTTCCCTCGCCTTCATAAGCTAGGTACAGTGGAACGCTAACGTTGGCGAGTCTGCTAAGAGTGGCAGGGGTTGTGTTTGAGAAAGGAAAATATAGCAACTGATACTATCCATCTGAATGTAAATGCGACTGTCATTCAAAATGAAAAATAATAAAACAAAAACTAAAATAAAACCTGATACATGAAGAATTATGGCATCAACCATTCCTAAGCAGCCAGTGTAGCAAGTTTGGCCACTGTCAGACTTAGGAAATCAGTATCAATTAAAAATATGGAACTATAATACATTTTCTGTCAAGTATTTACAAGTTTTCTATTTGGAGGGCTTGACCCATGTAGAAGTGAAGGGCTTTGGGAAGCAATTCTTTGAGAAACAATCAGAGCTTTTCACTGCCAGCCAAAATTTCAACTCTGGCCTCTTAATTTGAAGATGCAAATGTTTAATTGGACACCTATCAATTAGCATGTAAAAATACTCATATCTGCCTGAAAAATGTGGAGGTTGTCTTGAGCCCAGCTCAAATGTGGTGCTCAGGGGTCAGTGTAAATTGACAGTGAAGGCAAAATATCAACACTTCCAAAGAAAAGTCTGGAATCGATAGTTCTGGTTGCTGAATGGTGTCTTGCTAGTGCTGATTATTTTCATTATTATTCACTGAAGATTTGTATTAGGCCACTTACCATAAACCCAGGCTACAGCAATACATTCAAAGAATGCAACCCACAAAAGGCATACACCACTAGCTGCATAGTAGTCAAAGAGTTGAAAAACATACATGCCACCCTATAGACGAGAGAGACAGAGAGAGAGAAAAGGTTAGGCTCAGTCACTCACATTAAGACAATGTGTGTACTGGACCTGGCTGATTAAAATGGGTTTTTGCTCGGGAGTTCTAACAGACGCTTTATGAAAGGTAAAATTCTACCAAAAAATATTTTTCTGATTGTTTTTTAGCATGTAAAAATGCCACAGAATCATAGACCTATAGAGCTGGGGGGATCTCAAGAGGTCATCCAGCCCAGCCCCTTGCTCAGGGCAGGATCATCCCTAGCTAAACTATCCCAAATAAATGTGTGTCTAACCAGCACCGTAACCTTCCTTCTATGCTGCATCTGTAAAAATAAGTACTTAGCACTAATTTCCCTACGCACTTTTTGTGTTTATTATAGAAAGAATTATAAACTTGACAGCAATTGAACAAAATTACGCCACTTAATGTAATCTACTGAGACAGTTTTTCCTTCTTAAAAGTATTTTAGGGTGAGCTTTTATGAAATCATATAATAGAAAGAAATAATTGGTCTTCAACATGAACTGCTCTGATGTGATGAAAAATGCAAGGCAGGTCACTAGGAGGTACCTTCATTTATGAATCTAGTAGATATTTTCTCAGGAGGAAAATATCTCATTTTTCTCTCATTTTTAAATATTACATAGAACTGTCCAGACTCATTGCTCTGGCAATTGCTTTAAACAGACAGAGCTGAATTTCAATATAGATGTAAATGTTCCTTGCTCTTTATGTTGGTCACATCCAAACCTTTTTGAGTGTTTGAGTGTTCAAAATATCACTTATGGACGTTATTGTAATTCCCACTCCCCCCCCCTCAGATTTTTTTTAAAAACTCTGATGTTTTAAATGAGGCACAGACTATTTCTAAAATAACTGTCCCAATAGCGCTCTTATTTGAACAGTTTTTTATCTTAGTTGGTTGGTTTTTAGACTAGTCTAAACCCAGAATGCCTTCACTGATTCAAATCTGTGTAACTGATATAAAAATCAAGTTCTCTGGTTGCACTAGATGGAGCTTTAACTAACACGCCATGCCAAATTTGAGTTTAGCGATATTAATCTTTTTACAGAAGGTTCCTGTGGCGTTTTCTAATTTGAAGCCAGACTCTGATATCTCTCCCACACTGCATATAGTACCTTAAGCCTGGACTGAAATCAGTGAGTGTATGAATTCATGGGCCAGAACCTGGTGCTTAGCTAACTCCCACGATGCACTGTCACCACTGCAGTTCAAGTACCCCAGTGGCGAAAGTCAGAAATGACTTAACACGAATTGTTTGACTTAATACTAACCTGCCTGCCCATAGATTAGATCAGGAAGTAAAGAACTGCACCAGATTCAATTATACCTGGATAGCGTGGGGGTGCCCAACCAAACTGCAATTCATGAACAGAAAACTGCACTAGTTATGATACTGCAGATAAATTGAGGGATGTAGGGCTGTGATTAGTATTATACGTGAATTTTTGAAGTCTTTAAATATGAACTAAGCTGCAGCGCTCTTTAAAATAATCTTTGGTTTAAGCCACTTTCTAGCAATCTTTACAAACTATGAACACTGTAATTCATTTTCAAGCTTTTGTTTTGAAATAGCTGTCGTTCCCAAAGGCTTTAACTGTTCTGCACATATCTGATTAGGAAGAGGTTATAAACTGGGTTACTCAGGGTGACATTCAGATTTTCTATTTTTTTCATTTATGGTTTTGCTCTTGCCAGATGACATCAATAAAGGAATGGTTTTGGAAATTCTACGTGCTTATGTTTTTATCTTGTGATAAGGTCCCGATCAGTTTAATCCAGTAGCTCTCTACCATGGGGACACTTTTAAGAGAGAGAAAAATGTTGGGGTCATCCTCGGTAGCCACGAAGAAAGGATGCTTGGTTGTACCTCTGCATAACTGCTCTTGAACCACAACCTGAGAAACCTTGATCTAGGTGATGAGGAGTCGTCACTATCTCTCATTTCTACCTACTTGTACAGTCCACCTATACAATAATAATATGTACCTTTTAATACAGTTTGAAGTTTATGGTAAAAAAGTTATGCAAGAGCTATGGAGTGTTATTTTGTTCAACTTACCTTTGTCAGCTGATTCACAATACAAATATGTACATATATTGCTTTTAAAAGCTCTCCATTATCAGTGTTACTTACTTCAGTCACCATAGTTAGTCCCAGAAGATAGCTTAGGAAACACACTATAGCGATGAAGATTTCCCGTCGGTAACCCTTCCTTAGGAAGGATGGGTACAGATCAACTAATGATGTGATCTGTCCTTCAACTTCAACAAACTAGATGGGAAAGAAACACACAGCATGCATTACATTTTCCTATGTCACAATTAAACGTCCCATAAAGACACCCTAGCAGTCCTGGAGGTGCAGAGCTGCTCGAAGTCCAGCTCAAAGAAGA